ATTTAGTCGTTTCCGTAGAGTGTTTTGTTTTTTATTTCATCGTCATCTATTATTTATTATATTTTGATATCACATTATTCTATAATTGCTACTATTTCATAATTAGTTGTTTTATTCTCTATTGTCATTTTTCTTTTCATTATTTAATATATTATATACTCGAATTGAGAATTCTTTGAAAATAATTTTTTTACCTATACGAAGTAAAAATATATTCTGCATACACTTCAAATAATTTTTTTGCCTATACGAAGTAAAAATATGTTCTGCATACACTCAATGACTCAATTCTCTCCAAACCCTATGAATCTATTGAATATATATAATATGTATTTTTATTAAATATTATTTTAATAAACGATTATATATCGAATATAACATTTAATATGATTGTGGAAATTCCTTTTTGAAAAAAGGGAAAAACTAATTAGCTACTTTTTATGACTGACCAAATACTTGGAACCTTTTTTAATTGAAAAATTAGTGTGAATCTTAAGAAGAAAAAACATAAAAGGAAGCCACCAAAGAGACATAAGTAGGCGTGGATGATGATTATTCCACAAAGTAATCATGTAAATATATTCATAAAGGTTAAAATAAATGAAAAAGAATAATTAGTAGTTTTGTCTCTACTACGTTTCAATACGAAACTTCATGTTGTCAATTATATAATTGATTATTAGATTATTATATTCATCAAGAGAAGGATATATAAAAAGAACTATTAGTATTTTTATCTTTATAAACATTTCAATCCGAAATTCTAAGCTTTCAACCACTTTATTGATTATTAGATCATATCATCGATCATATAACTATATTCATCAAGAGTAGCGCATCTGAAAAGAACTACTAGTATTTTTGTCTTTGTAAATATTTCAATCCAAAATTTCAAGCTCTCAACCACTTCATTAACTATTAGCTCACAATGTCGTTAAACATATAACAATATTCTAGCAAAATTAAGACAGTTAAAAAGAATCATCAATTTTTTTATCTCGATATTTCAATTTAAAACTTCAAACTCTCCACTAATTCATTAATTATTTCGACCAGATAACTATATAATCTTGATGTTCATCAAGATAATAACAAATGAAAAAAAATCATTACTATTTCTGTGACATTTCAACCTAAAAACATCATAATATCAACCACTTCATTAACTATGTCAACCAGATAACTATATTAATCAAGACTATGACAGATGAAAAGACTCACTAATATTTTGATCTCCACGAATATTTCAATAAAAATCTCGTGTTTTCAACTATTTCATTCACCACTAAATCAATACCGTCAATCTATTTTTGTATATTATATCCTCTCTACATCTTGTTACTCTGTATTTTTCAACACACATCGTAGAAAGAAAAAGAAGAAAAAAAAAGCATATGAATGACACATTTCCAGCTGTGGAATGAACAGTACCTCCTCTCTTCTTCCTTATTTTAGTATATATTAATTTAGTAGTTGACATAAAATAGTATGGAAGAGAGATAAAAGGGGTCCTCTGAAAAATTATGCCCCAAAGCAGAAGCCAAAGTCTACTTTGATTGTACAAAGAATCCACAGAAACAAAAAAATCACACAAAAAAAAGGAAGAAAAAGAGAGCAAAATCACACACATACACACAGTTGAATTTTAAGTTGAAGATGTATACATAAATCTAATCAGGTAAATGGTAATCTTTTTTTTTTGAGTTTTTATTTTGTAAGTATGATAAAGAGATCTAATTGAATTATTGGGATTGGGATTGAAATTAATACAAGATTTGTTTTTGAGTTTTTGGGTGTTTTTTGATGTGAAATTAGAGATCTGGGTTGGTGAAGTATGCATTTTTTATCCAAAGTTTCAGCTTTTATAGCAATTTTTGGGTGTTTTTGATTCTGGGAATCTGCTATTTTTGGTGAATTTTGATTATCTTTGGAGGGTTTACTGAACTTTCATGTATTGGAAAACTGAATCTTTGTGGATTTTACTTATCTTTTGATTGAAAGCTTCAATTTTTTGGGTGTTTCTGATTTCAAGTATGTAATTTCTGGTGAATTTAGTTATTTCCTGATATTCTTCAGTTGTTGTTTGTTCTTGCATGTTCATTTGATTGAAATTTTTCAGGTTTTGAGGTGTTTCTAGTTGTGTATATAGATTGGCTTCTGCAGTTATGATGTGTATTGAAGAATCAAGTAAATCTAAATTGTACCTTAAATGAGTGTGTGGTTGTAAATTTGCTTTTATTCTTTGTATTTGCGTAATCTGGATTGGCTTTATTCATTATAAGATACTGGAATTGCTTTATTTTGTGATCGAATTGATGTCGATGGAAAGAGTAGTTAGAGATTGATTTCCTTTCTTGTGCTTTTATGAGGGAGAATTTTGTTGTTTGGTTTCTTAGAATTCAATAGGTTTCTGTCTTTGTTTTGATGAATTCTTATTGGGAATTCTATTGGTTAGGTTGAATGTTGTGCTTTGATGAAGGAGAATTTTGTTGTTTGGTTATTTAGAATTCAATAGGTTTCTATCTATGTTTTGATGAATTCTTATTGGGAATTCTATTGGTTAGGTTGAACCTGGACGATATGTTGGAAGATCGATCTTGTTTGGTTCCTAGGGATTTCTCAAGAGAAAACAACAACTGGTCGGCCTGCATTAATTACAGCCTCGATATGATTGAAGTTCAGAATGGTAAAAGGCCATTGGAAAATAATCAGGAGGATGAAGTTGTGCAACGCAAGTTGCCAAAGCTATCTGATGCTCGTGATGGAAAAGAAGTCGTTCTAGCCTCACCACATGACCAAGCTGGTGATCAGCGTCATGATGAAGATACTAGTTCTCTTATTCCTTCCATTGGCCGAGACAACTCTGTTAGCTCTCTCATTCATTGCTCCAGGTCTGATTTTGGGGCTATTGCATCTTTAAATCGTAGCTTTCGCTCGTTAATTAGTAGTGGGGAGCTTTACAGACTGAGGCGTCAACAAGGCGTGGTTGAGCATTGGGTTTATTTTTCTTGCCATCTACGTCAATGGGAAGCTTTTGACCCCATTCGTCGCCGTTGGATGCATCTACCATCAATGAATTTCAATGAATGTTTTGTGTTCTCAGACAAGGAGTCTTTAGCAGTTGGGACAGAGCTGCTTGTGTTTGGAAAGGAGATATTGTCACATGTCATTTATCGTTATAGTTTGCTGACAAACAGTTGGTCAGCTGGAACAGAAATGAACGCACCAAGGTGTTTGTTTGGCTCTGCCAGCTCTGGGGAGATTGCCATTCTAGCTGGTGGTTGTGACTCACAGGGCAATATCCTCAGCTCAGCAGAACTTTACAATTCAGAGACTGGAACATGGAAGACCTTACCAAGCATGAACAAGCGGCGGAAGATGTGTTCTGCAGTATTTATGGACAAAAAGTTTTACGTAATTGGAGGCATTGGAGGTACGGAGTCATCAAACGCGCTACTGACTTGTGGAGAGGAATATGATTTGAAAACAGGAAAATGGACTGAAATTTCGAGCATGTCTCCTGTCCGAGCTAGGGGTGATATGCCTGCTACTTCTGAAGCACCTCCTTTGGTTGCGGTTGTGAATAATGATTTGTATGCTGCTGATTATGCTGACATGGAGGTGAGGAAGTATGACAAGAAAAACAAAACATGGGCTACTATAGGAAGATTGCCTGAAAGAGCAGCTTCAATGAATGGTTGGGGCTTGGCTTTTCGAGCTTGTGGTGATAGGCTAATTGTAATCGGAGGACCTAGAACCATGGGTGAAGGGCATATCGAAGTTAATTCATGGGTTCCTAGTGAAGGACCGCCTCAGTGGAACTTGCTTGGACGAAAGCGATCTGGTAGCTTTGTGTATAATTGTGCTGTCATGGGTTGCTGACATATGATTTTTGCAAGTAGATACAGAATTGGGAATTCTTGCCAATTGGTAACTTATCCCAACCTTTTCGTTTCTGAATCCTTCTGTTTTATCTTATCAGATTACCAAACTATACCCAATATTCAACAGAATTACGTTATTTAGAAGGTCGATCCTGAGTACGACTTATCTCATCTCCCATTTTCATTTGCATAAAACTCCAAAGGCGGCCGCAGAGGTAAAATATTAACTTGAAGATGGGAGCAATACAGTGATAGATTTTGGTTATGCTGTGATCCTTATTTTTCTTGACATTGTTGAGGAAGAAAAATAAGGTTTTGTAGTGATGTTCATTTGACATCTTGTTTTATGTACCAAATACATTTATTCTTGTTGACAACAGGCTACAAGTTGAGACAATATTGGTGCCTTTAGAATGCCTTTCTACTTTCCCTTTAAATTTGTGTTATTTGAGCTTTATATTGTTGTAATCGAGCTAAATATCTTTTAGAAACAACTTTTCTACCTCCACGAGGACCGTAAGATATGCATATACTTTATCCTCTCTGAACCCCGCTCCCGCTTTGTGATAGATATTTAGTGCATCACAGGCATGTTTGTTCAATATCAGATGATAGTTTCACAATTTATGTTTGTTCAAAATATCAGATGATGTTTCACAATTTTTACCCTAGGCATCATTCTCCATAAAATATGATTTTCTTAGGAACTTCTAATAAAACATTTTCTCCCATTTAAATACTTACAAATATGATTTAATTATATTTCCTAAGTTGGAGACAAAGTAATCAATTAATTACTTAATATATGGGTCAAGACTTCAATATTAAATTAAAAAAAATCTTCTCTAGTCTCTTTCCTTATATGAGAGCTAGGTATGAAATGTTAATATTTTGGACTTCAAATATTCTTTTCTAACAGGTTTTATTATAATTTTCATATATGAAGAATAATTTTCATCTAGCAAACGAGATACTTGACCTAGGTAAGTTCATCTATGGTTATTACCAGAGCTCCGATGCATGGCAATGGAGACAAGAGTTGAATAACTAATCTCTACGTTACTAATACATGTAACGACCCCTTCAGAGGGTTAACTCTCAAAAGAAAACACATGGTAAGACAGATTTAGTCAAAACTCTTAAAACAGTGCAAAATCCAAGATTTAGAAACTTCTGTTTAATATTTCTTTACTACTACATGAAGGTAAACCACAAATAGCAGAAAAAAAAGATAGGTCAGAACTACAAGCCAAATAGACCAAACACTAAGATAGTTGATCATTCTTCATCCTCTTCATCACCATCACCACCAGCAGCCTTCTTGGCAGCAGACTTTTGGTTCTTTCGCTTCACTCTTCCAGGACGCCCACCGCCAAATGGACTAGTGAGAGAGAAGTCAATGTGCTTCTGGGAGTCTACTCTCACCATAAAAGAAGCAACATTCACCACCTGCCTACCAACTCTGCAGTGCAAAGATATTGTGAATCAGAAACTAAGAGATCCCAATTCCCGCGCACCAAATAAAAAGTAGGTACATTACTACCCTGGGGTTCTGTATATATGTGATTCTGCTTGGTCTAAACTCTAAATGAAACTATGTGAAGCAGACTTCTTTCTTCTGATATATATATTTAAAAGTAATGAATGATCATGCAGCAGATATCATTTTCATGCCATGTCTAGTATGTTGTCATAAACCCACTACATTTAATAAGAATCCTATTTGCACGGAAATGCCAATCATTATATAAAAAGCAAACTCCAGAATAAAAATAAAGTGTTCCTTTCCCGGCTAATATTGATTGACAAGAAAAGAAAATTTTGATTGATGAAACAATCTTCATAACATGGAACTTTGATCTACTAGAGAATGCCAGATAAAAAACTTGTCTTTAATCGTTGATGGATCTTTGTAGCATTTACTGGATCTTCTAAACATATGGTGTAAAATCAACGCCAATAATTCAGGAAGAAGTGATTGAACCCAAAAATGCCATATTGATAATTATGTTCTTAACAAATCCAGCAGAGATATATGCACAACAGTGGAAAAAATTGATAAACAACAAAACCAAGCATGACTGAAATTATTTATTTCCTTTTGCCAATAAAAAAACTAATGGTACCTGATATGCCTTTGCCTGATGAGCACTCTGGCATGATGAATTGACTTAGCCATGCCGGTCTTGAACACTAGTGTTTGGAGACGACGCTCAAGAAAGTTCTCCACGGTGAGTGCCAAGACATAATCGAGCTTGTTTTGGCTCTCATCCAACAACCCATACCTGTTCATCCTCCTCAAGAGAGCTTCACCTTCAAAAATACGACGTGGATCCTTCTCATCCAATGTCAGAAGCATTCTAGCAGCATTCCTGATACGGCTCAAAGCATACTGAACTCTCCAAAGCTCCCTCTTGCACCTTAGTCCATACTCTCCTACAAGCTTCAATTCTGCATCCAATCGCTCCTTCTCATAAGGCCTTCGTGGCTTCTTAAAGGTCTTCCCATCTGAATTCCGTATCACAATGTGTAAGATATACTTAATTACAATGTGAATATACTATACACAGCCTGAATTTTGAGCTAAGCATATCACAGCCAAATCGAAAAATACAGACTATTAGACATAAAAACCAATTAATGTTAGGTCACTGCGTATAACTATAACAGACGTCATCAATCAATCAACTAAATGACTAAATCACACATCAGAAGTCGTCAACTAAACAACCCTAAAAATGCTTCTCCCTCCATTACAATTCATGAGGCATACTTCCATTTTCAGTCCATACCCAAAAAAACACCTTTCTACAGCTAAATCAACTAAACTTTAGCTATAGTTCATTTTAGAACACAAATCTCTGAAGTCTTCAACTTTTTCAGAGCACATAATTTAACTCTACTGTAAATAAAGAGTCCCTGATACAAACGATGTCACATAAATTGGGACGAATAAAGCACATAATTTAACTCTACTGTAAAATAAAGAGTCCCTAGTCCAAACAATGTCACATAAATTGGGACAAATGAAGCACATAATTTAACTCTACGATTAATAAAGAGTCCCTAAAAACACAGAGGCTCCATAACCTCACTCTTAGGCCAATGGTTACATAAAAGTCGTCAATCGCACTAAAAAAAACGAAAAATGAGAAGTGACCCAATTTCAAATTCAAGCAAAAAAATTTGAAATTTACATTCCAAACCAACTGATCATACAATTATAACCTTCAAGGTTCTCCATTAATGAAAAAAATAAACTTACACAAACCAGGAAACTTACAAAGTACTCAAATCTCAACAACAATGGTGCAATTAGCTAAAAAAACTGAAACTTTACAATATAATCAGACTATTAGCAACATAAATTAACCTCAAATGCTGCATACATCCATAATCCTACTAAATTCACCCATAAAATCACTAATTTGCATTTAATCAAACAGATACATAATGAGAGATCATACATAAAGGAGAAAAAAATACTCACAGTTGCGATAAAAAGAGACGTGCACCATGTTTGTTCGTCTCCTTCAATGTACAGAGATCTCTGAGAAGGTAAAGGATACTGCTATATACTCATCAAACCCTAATAGGCCTTTAATGGATTCTAAAAAATTTGGGCCCAAACTTTGTTTGGGTAGTAAATTTAAATTTTGACCCAAAAGATGGACCCATGGGTCAATATTTTTCTCGAATTCATATTCACGCATATTTTATTGGAAAATTACTGAAATACACATTTTATGTTTTTCTTATTTTTAATATCCTTTTCTATTTCTAAAAATCTCTAAAATATCTTATTTTTTAATGTATTCGAGTTACATATTAATGTATCCGAGTCAGTATTTAATGTGTTTGAGCTACATATTACGTATCTTGTTTATTTTATAATGTATCCGAGCTAGTTTTTGATGTACCCAAGCTATATATTATGTATCTGGTTTATGTTATAATGTATTCAAGGGACTCTTTAACATATCCGAACTATATATTAATGTATCCGTTTGTGTTAATTTATAAGGGATTAAAGAGTGATAAATTATAATTTCATATTAAAACTACGTGATTTCTGTAAAATCTACTTTTTTATTGGACATTGCTATTTTACATGTAAATTTTTTATGAAGGCATGTTATTTGGTAGTCTCCATTTGATCTTATATCTGTCGAAAAAAAATTATTCAATGGATATTCAATATTAAATAATTTTGTACTAACTTGTCTTTTATTTTGATTCTTTAAAATTGGTTTATAATACTAGTATTTGATGAAGATTTTTTTTGTTTTTAGAAAGGTTTAGATTACTCATTCAAAATATAAGAGCAAGAGTTTAAGTTTTCATATCTCAATTCTCGAGTGTATATTTCTTTATCTTTTAATAAAAGAGAAAATCTGTTGAAATTTTTTTGAAGACAATTTGAATTTTTGATTTTTTTTAAAAAAATCATTTAAATTTTTGAGAGAAAGAAAGAGATATTTCAAATGAAATTTAAATTTATGGAACAATAAGTTGAATGAGAATGAGTTTCATATATAACGGAGTTTAAATCTCACATTTTAATTGTGATGCATGAGATTTTACTTATTGTAAGCCTTTGCAAATCACAATTATAATTGCGACATATGTATCTTATTTGTCAACAGTATTTTAACTATTTCCTTTCCAAAAAAAAAAAAAACTCTTCCTCTCACATACAAATAAATACATTCTATACTAAATAATAACTTATTTTAAAGATTAATGAGTCGCTTTAACACGAGTTTTGATTATATGAAACAACACAATGCAAAGTACCTTATCCTTCTCCCTTGAGCAACATAATGAGGTTTAATTTTGTTTTCATAAATCATAGGAGATGATATATATATACTTGAACATGTCAAATGTTCTTCTACTTTGCTCTAATTTTTTTTATCGCAGATTCACTTAAATTCAAAAGGATGAAATTGCGTATCACTTTAAAAATCTAACGTAGAAAAATGCTCGATGTGGCATTTCAAGAATCAATCTGTAATACTTGAGTTCGACATCCTCAACTTCCTATATCATGACCACTTTTTCATTTTCACATTTTTCTTCATGAATAACAAAAAGTTTGATTTACTAGTTGTGTTTTTTGCTCTCTTCTCATAGTTTTTCATTATATATTATAAGACGCGATCTCTCTCTATCTCCACAACAAACTGTCGCTCTAAGTTTTTATGCGAATGTCATGAAACGTGATATTGATCATTCTTTTCGCCTTTTCATCTTCCTCAAATACAATTTGGTCGATGTAATTTATCTTTGTCTTCACAAAATTATTCGCTTTTATAATTTTTAAATTAGTATTTGACGTCGTGAGAGCGGACATCCTTTTTTCTCAATTTGCATACTAGTGCATTTGTCAAAACTCAAAAATACAACTTAGAAATTAGTTAAGATTAATAAGAAGACAACAACTAAAATAATTTTCTCAAAATATTGTAATATCCGTTTTAATCTCCATAAATTTAAACAATTCTAATTAAGCTTTTATTAAGTAAAAGTAACTTAACTTAAATTGTATGTTACAAATAGAAAATCTTGAATGAAAAAATTGTTTTAAGAAAACTAATCATAATTATTTTTTTAAAAAATAAACGTTAAAAAAAGAAGAAGAAGAAGTTATCCAATTAATTAATACTAAAACAAATTGTTTTAATAAATGCACAAATATAAGAATGTAAAATGTTCTAATAACAATAAGAACAATCGATCAAATTCTAGGGTTCCAAATTTCCAATTAGGTCTTATAGTCTCAGAAATTCACTTAGAGTCCGAGATTCAGAGAGAGTTCTGCCGCCGGTTGCCGCCTGTCGCTGCTCTTATTCAGGTAAGTTCACTCTTCCTCGTCTAGTTGTTGTCATATACCAGAAAATTGCTGATAAGCTTCTCTGTTCGCCTGTTATGTGATGTATTTAGTGAGCTGAGATTAGCGGTTGAAGTTAAATTTTCATGAGTAGAGAGATTTTGTGTTCATTTCTGTAAATTTGTTGAGATCTTTTCAGTTATGTGATGTATTTGAAGAGCTGACATTAGCTGCTGAAGTTCCATTTTTCATGAGAAATGAGATTTTGTATTCATATCTGTAAATTTGTTGAGATATTTTCAGTTATCTGATGTATTTAAAGAGTTGAAACTAGCTATTGAAGTTCCATTTTCATGGGGCTTACCCGAGGGGAAAGTTATTAAGATATAAATAAGCTTTTTTCCTTCAATCATTCGTTCTCAATGCTATGTGCTACAAATGAATTGTTTTTTTGAAAATAGAATTTGCTGCAACATGCAGGAATAGAAATGTTTGGTACCACAACGATATTGCCCCTTCCGGCACCGCCGTTGGATGGGAATCTGGGACCAACACCTCCTGCTCAGGTGGTAGAGGAACCAGAGGATGATAGGATGGAAGAGAATGAAGAGGACAACAATAAAGGCAACAAGGTTCCAACATCTGTTGCTACACATACTAGAACTATTGGTATCATTTACCCTCCTCCAGATATTAGGAGTATTGTTGATAAGACTTCGCAGTTTGTTGCGAAGAATGGTCCGGAATTTGAGAAGAGAATTGTTCTAAATAATGCTGGCAATGCGAAATTTAACTTCTTGAATGCCTCTGATCCTTACCATGCCTATTATCAGCACCGTTTGGCTGATGCTCGCGCACAGAATCAGGCTTCTGGAGAGCAGCCTACTCAGCCAGATGACAATGAAGCAGCCCCTGCTCCTCCTACTGCTGATGGTGCTGAGGCAACTGCTAAACCTGATCCGTCAGCTCAGTTTAGACCTGTAAGAAAGGTTCTCGAGCCACCTGAGGCAGAGCAATATACTGTAAGACTCCCTGAAGGGATCACAGGTGAAGAACTGGATATTATTAAGCTAACAGCACAATTTGTGGCCAGAAATGGGAAGTCTTTCTTAACAGGGTTAACAAGCAGGGAGATTAATAATCCCCAATTTCATTTTCTAAAGCCTACTCACAGCATGTTCATGTTTTTCACTTCACTTGCTGATGCGTATTCAAAAGTTCTGATGCCTCCGAAAGGCTTGACGGACAAGCTGCAGAAGAGTGCTGCTGACATGACAACAGTCCTAGAGCGATGTCTGCATCGGTTGGAATGGGAAAGGTCACAGGAGCAGGCTCGGCAAAAAGCTGAAGATGAGATAGAACAAGAGAGGGTGCAGATGGCTATGATTGATTGGCATGATTTTGTTGTTGTTGAGACTATAGATTTTGCCGATGACGAGGATCAGGATTTACCTCCACCTATGACCCTAGAGGAGGTTATAAGGAGGAGCAAGATGCCTACATTGGAGGAAGAAGAGTATGTTGAGCCTGGAAAAGAGGTGGAAATGGAGATGGATGAAGAAGAGGTGCAGCTAGTTGAAGAAGGTATGCGAGCTGCGACTCTTGAAGAGAATGGTGATATCAAGAGTGCTGAAACCATGACAATTTCAGAGGAACAGGACCCACCAATGCGGATTGTGAAGAACTGGAAGAGGCCTGAAGAGAGGATCCTGGCAGAAAGGGACCCAACTAAGTATGTTGTCTCTCCTATAACCGGTGAGCTCATACCTATTAATGAGATGTCTGAACATATGAGGATCTCTCTCATTGATCCAAAGTACAAGGAACAGAAGGACAGGATGTTTGCGAAGATTAAGGAGACGACTCTTGCGCAGGATGATGAGATTTCTAGGAACATTGTTGGACTTGCAAGAACCCGTCCGGATATATTTGGTACCACAGAAGAAGAAGTTTCAAATGCGGTCAAGGCTGAGATTGAGAAAAAGAAGGAAGAGCCGAAGCAAGTCATATGGGATGGTCACACAGGTAGCATTGGTCGCACTGCGAACCAGGCAATGTCTCAGAACAGTGATGATCAGAATGATGCTGCAAATGATGCAAGAAACCTTCCTGGACCGCAGGCTCCTCCACCTCCCAGACCTGGTTTTCCATCTATTAGGCCACTACCTCCACCACCTGGGCTTGCACTGAATATTCCTAGGCCTCCTAATACAGTCCAGTATTCTACTCCTGGGGTTGCTGCTCCGCCTCCACCTCGACCTCCTATGGTTAACATGATTCCTCAGGTTCGGCCCCCACCTCCTCCCATGCCACAGATGCCAGGTCAGCAAAATCTCATGGTGAATCGCCCTCCAATGCCTCCATCGATGGGTATGAATTCTCTTAACCTTCCCATTCCACCACCTCCTGGATCACAATTTACTCCTTTGGGAGCACCTCGACCCTTTGTTCCCCACCCGATGTCCCAGCCCGGAATGTCTATGGTCCCACCGCCTCCTATGCCCCAAGGAATGCCGCCACCCCCTCCACCAGAGGAAGCGCCTCCTCTCCCTGAAGAGCCAGAGCCAAAGAGGCAAAAGCTTGAAGAGTCTATTCTCATTCCTGAAGACCAGTTTTTGGCTCAGCACTCGGTATGGATAGCTTTTTTTTTTCTTTTTCCCCCCAACTTTTACATAATTGTCTGGGTCTCTGAGAATTTTGCTTAATGCCTCAATTTTCTTACATTCATGGAAATTATGTTGCCTGCTGGGATTTTATTGCAGGGACCTGCAAGGATCAATATATCTGTGCCGAATACCGATGAA